GGGTCTCTTTAGCTTGGAGGAGACTGAGGGCGATTAATGTTTATAAATATGTTAAGGAGGGTGGAGCCAGGCTCTTCTCAGTGATGCCCAATGGTAGGACAAGGGGCAATGGGTGTGAGCTGGAACACAGGAGGTTCCACTTAAACTTGAGAAAAAAATTCTTTACGGTGAGGGTAACAGAGCCCTGGGACAGGCTGCCCAGGGAGGTTGTGGAGTCTCCTTCTCTGGAGACATTCAAGACCCACCTGGATGCCTTCCTGTGTAATTTTGTTTAGGTGTTCCTGCTCCGGCAGGGGGGTTGGACTGGATGATCTTTCGAGGTCCCTTCCAATCCCTAATATTCTGTGATTCTGTGATTCTTAATGATAAACAGGAAGGTTACTAAAGCACAGTAATAGACATGATGCTAGAATTCACTTTGTTCATACTTTCCAACTCTTAATAGCTTGGCTAAAAAGCAGTCTACAGGTAGATAAAGATGGCTTAAAATATAAAGAACAAAGAACTCGGATATTTTAATTCAAGAAGCTAAGCCAAAGACTTACACGCTTTATGCAGAATGTTCTAGTTGGAATAATTCTGTTGTTACTTTAACTTTTTTGTACTCTTAGATGATAAGGAGCAACAGAGTTTTAAATATAGGAATCAATATAATTGTTCAACTTCATTACAATAAAACTGAATTTTTATCTACAAAAGGAGAATCTCAATATGTATCTCAAAAGTACTGCAGTTACTACCAATGACAATCAGTTTGTACTAATATTAAATACTTTTTACATATGAGAAGGTTATAATACATATGATTACATGGCTTCTGTATGCCAGGTGCAATGTGCTTTGAACTCCAAATAAATAAAAATCTTGGTTTAGAAATACCTGCTATGTCATCAACAATTTCTGTGTATGTTCTACGAGCTATGTCAAGGAATTCATTGATGTTAGGCTTAACAGCGTAGCATTTCTGGGTCCTCATACTCAGACATCCTTTTGTATACCTTGTATCGTCATTAATTACAGTTGTAATCTTTTCAAGTATGATTCCAAATCTGTAATATTAGTTGTATTGCTAATTAGCTGCATAATACTTCATGCTTTTTATTTGTAATATCATCACAAAATTGCAAATAGGAGTATTACAAATAACTGAAGCAAATTATCTACTGTTAAAACGAAACACTAAATTTTATGTCTATTTTTGCCTCAGAATGAAGTATAACTATACCCAAGTCTGGCCCAAGATACCATTCAAATCTTTGGGAGATATAAATTATTTCTGAAATATACAGGCAACGGTTGATTTTTGCATTATAATTGGGACTCTAGGAAACCACTACTTCTGTCTTTTCAGAATTGTTTCTAATGGAGCGCAGCACATCAATTGCAGTATCACAGCCAACTTTCTGTTTTGCTTTTTCACCTGTATTTGTTTGTCAGTTGAAAATGACTACTTTTGACAATTAAAAACAGCTTTTAGGCAAAAAACCTGAACTATACCTGTAACTACAAATAAGAAAAGATGCAACATCTTTAATCTTCCAGACATTATTAAGAAAGATGAGAGTTTCTAACACACTTGCTAAAGTATTACGATAAATACCTTGTATCTTCAAGAGAATTGTAATAAGCCTTTAGCAGAGATGTGTTACAGCTTCTTAGAGCAGCCTGTTGAAGATTAAAATATGGACATGAACAGTTACTTCTTTTTGTAGCCCTTTTAAAGGACTGAAAGTTTTTAAGATTCAGAGGCTTATTAGCAGTTGCATAAGCAGCTTACAGAATCTGAGCAGGAGTTTCAGTTAAATGTTTGTTATAAAATAAATTATTCAGGTAATGGTAGCAATCCAGTTCTTACGAGTATTAGACTCAAATGTGTATTTCAAATTGGCTTAAGAATTAACAGACTATGTTGGCAGTATTGTGTTATGCAAGATACAAAGTAAATTTTATTTATGGATTCAATGATCCTTATAGGTCCTTTCCAACTTGAGATATTCTATTCTATATTCTATGGAATTTAACAAATTGCACTGTATAAAAATAAGGATAAAATGGTCTGTACTTTATTTAAAAAAAAAAAAAAAAAAAGACAGAGACAGAGCTTACTTTTAGGGGCTCCACAAGTTCTAGAGTATGCTTCAGGTAGATTAAATTAGTTATTTTTGATTCAGCAGCTTTAACCTGTTGAAATATTTTACAAATATTTGAGGTGTTTGTATGTCTGCCTGGTTAAAAAAGTACTTAAGAATCAGCAGAATTCATAGTGTTAACTGTAAAAGGTTTACTTTTAATGAAAATTGCTAAAATACTCCATACTTTGACAACTTGATGTGTAACTGCATAAAAAAGTTTACCTAAATTTTACACTGCCTACTGTGATAGCTTGCCCATCAGTAGCTAATATTTTCATATGCCTGCACTGATAATGATTGACTCTTGAGAACACTCTGCTAACCCAAGCCATGAAAACTTTTTGATCTTCTACATATACATAGTTCTATATAATACACAGCTTGTAGACTCTTTCAAAGCAAATATATTATGCATCATAATTAAGAAGCACAATCCTTTTAATAAATGCTGTTAAACCCAACATAACCCAATTTAGTTGACTTTAACATATTTATATCCTTAAACATCTGCCCATGTAATAATAATAATAATAATAATAATTTTAAAAATCCAATAAATGTTTAAAAATTTTGCTTACAACAATGACTTCTCTTCAAAATGTTTTGTCCACACACACATTCTACCTTGCTTTGTATGCCCCATTAACATTTATGATAAAGAATTCTGCTGCTGATATTAGGGCATAGCATATGTCCTGCATAGCACATGCAGTACGTACACACTGTGTGAGAGAGACTTTAAGAAACCAACATAGATAAGCACATTGTTTGGTTCTAAACAAAATCTAGCATCAGTTTTCAACATGAACATATGAATATGACCCCATGTGAAATTTTTTCTCATTCGTATATAATAACTTTTTACTCTTGCGGTAGAGGGCACCTCTTGCCTTATCTCACCTTCTATCTAAAGTTGTTTTCTGTAACAGATTAGACTCAACGATGCTACATGTATGAACAAAAGAATCATAATCTGCAACAAAATGTATGTGAAGAGCTGGTATTCTATAAAGGAATGTACCTTTGCTAAAATAGTTCTTATAGGAACTTTAACTGAACTGTTGTTAAAAGTGGATCTTTATACATGCTGCAATTTAGGGTCAAAGGGAGAAAATGAATGACTACAACCAACTCTTCTATATAATGTTACTTCTTTATGATTCATTAATGACTAAAATGCAAGCCTTTACAGCATCTAAAATTAATTTGTCCACAGTCACTCTGATACATAAAGCATGGTGATTCAGAGAAGCAGCTGACTTTGTTTTTGTGCTAGAGACTTAAGTCCTACAGATTTAAGTGCTATGTCAGTGCATCAGCCCTAGTTTAACTTTTGTATTTCTTGGAGATTCATTTAAACCAAGTATACTGGTACCTTCTCCCTGTGAGAGAAGGAATCAATCTGTCACACGTCTGGAACTTTATCAGGCACAGAATCTATTGAATTTGTTCTTCAGATGGGTGACCAAGTAATCCAAAGCAGGTGGTCCTTATTTCCACCAAAAGTTGGGTGTTGATCCAGTTTCTAAGGATCCTTCATGACTGAGACAAGAGGGCCTTTTGAGGAAATCTTGGGGTGTTTTTTGTCCAGATACCTTTAATTTGCTTACATAAGCTGATTTCATAAGAGGAAGTACTTCATTTCACCGATGACATGATTTTTCAAGTAACACATCTCAGCAAGATTGTCAGCTGACAGTCCTCCTTAGGATGAGATAACACTCATGTTGAACATACCACTCACACTTCTAGTGATTTCAGATCAACACCTCATTTGTTAACTGGTGGAACATTTTGCAATTACAATTTTTATGGAGAGTGGGAGTGGAACATATTGAATGGGTTAATCTAGCATTTGATAAAACCAACTGAGTTAGCACTTGAACGAACATGTCTATTGCACAAATAGTAAGCTCTGCTATATTGGAGCCAGTCAAGATTGAAAACACTGCAGTTAAAAGTTTGGTGCGCATAGTCCTATGCATACATAAAGGCATCCAGTCTGTCATTTTTAGTCATACAGGTGATTTGTGTTACAGATCTCTACAAGTAAAGCTAGGAGTAATAAGCATTCAGCTTTTTGGATATGTCTTTAAAGAGATTTATCTGCATTTGTTAGAGTCCTGCCAGAGTTTACCTGATTTCTTTAACTGGCATTAGACAAGTCATTTATCTAAGCAGGTAAGTCAGCATGTGAGAAAACACTGAGGTGAAAGAGTTGTAAATATCTATGATGCCAGCATACCAGCATAAACACAGGCAAGCTGTCCTGCGAGGGGCTGTGTCTTGTTTAGCTGCCAGCTAAGTTAAACTATCACACAAGCATAAGCCTCAAAAGCATTGGCAGAAATATCCTACTCAGGTATAGTAGGCAAATGTAACTCATAATCGAATGGTTACAATACGCTTAGTAGAACCAAGCTGAGGTTAGGTTACTGCAAGTTCACTGTGGTTAACTGTTGTGTCTGGTCTCAATCGAGCAAGCTACATGTATTTGTCCTGTTTTGGTATTTGCATTGCATGCATTAACATACAGATTGATATAGGAGGCTGTGATAGTTTCACTTGGCTAGCAGACAACACAGCCGTTCAGCCACTTCCCCCCACCCCCAGGGGATAGGGGAGAGGATTGGGGCAAGGATAAGGAGACTTGTAGGTTAAGATAAGAACATTTGATTAAAAAAAAAAAAAAAAAAAACTTTTTTTGAAAACCATTAAAAGTCACTTTTTATACGCCCTTCAGCAATTTTTGTTTACAAGCTAGTTAAGAATGGGAGCTAATCTCCACTCTAACAAAGATACATTGGCATGCTGAAGGAAAAGAAACCTTAGTTTATTTAATCACAACTATCTTCTGGTTAAAACGGTTACGGTGTGATTTGCAAGGCTAAAGATTAAATCTGTCTTGAGGTCCTAAAAGATTTCAAAGGGGAAATTAGCCATAAATACTGAGGAGGAAAGGGGGGCTTCTAAGGAACTTAAATCTGAAAGCATATTCAGTAATTCTCCCGAAGGCGATCTGTGGTGAAAGCCTCCTCTGTCAGTCAAGTTCCTGAATGCACTCTCATAGCTGCAACACGAGGCATAAGGCACTCGTACAGACTGAAACCATGGCTGCCACTGTCAAGAGGATAAGGGATAAAATACCTTCCTGTTGAAGCCTTAACATAAGCAGATAAAGTACTGCTTGTCTTTCAACTAAATTAGGCTGTTGTAAGCATTTATAGCTTTATTGTCTAGTTATGCTTTTATTAAGAAATGCTTTTATCTGCATTTCATTTTGGTCCACCTTGTAAGATGTGTGATTTAAAGTAACAGATAAGGGCAGGGCACTCTTTTTAATCTGTAATACAGGACCCTGAGAAAATTTAAGAGCAACTGATTCTCCATACATTACTTATTGCTTGCATTCAAAAGTTGAACTGGAAGCAGAAGGGACTTCCAGACACTATTCATACCCTAGAAACCTCTCTCTCTGTGCTTGAGATGTAAGGTTCTCTGCTTATGAGAACAGTTGGTGGAAGGGAAACCTCTCATTTGGAACTGCTTATGTTGTGTGAGTACATTGTTTTCTGTCAGTTGGTTGTTGTTCAGAAGAAGCACTTAACTGCTGCATGAAAAAGTTGCGCTTAGCTCATACAACATCTGTGTCTTGGAAACTAACAGGTAAGTCCCATTTCTGGCTTTGTATGTTTACATGATTGACCTAGTAACCGAATGCAGATTTAAGTCTATCCATATTATAAGCACAGCTGAGCAAAGTCAGAGTGCTTCTTAAGAACCTTTTACAAAATAATTTTTCAGGCAATACAGACTAATTTATATCGATTTGTACTACATGAAAACTATGCTTTTATTTCTAGTAAGAATGATCCTTTCTTTTCTTTGGGCTATCAAAAATTGTATTAACCTCTAAAAAAAGAGTAAATTTCTGTTATACGTTGTGTGTTATACCTGTCATACACACAGGAAGAAAATTCTTTGGTGTGAGGGTGGTGAGACACTGGCCCAGGTTGGCCAGAGAAGCTGTGGCTGCTCCTCCCTGGAAGTGGTGAAGGCCAGGCTGGATGAGGCTTTGAGCAACCTGGTCTAGTGGAAGGGGTCCCTGCTGCTGGCAGGGGGGTTGGGGCTGGATGAGCTTTAAGGTACCTGCCAACCTATACCATTCTATGAAATTCCTCTCTCTCATCCTAGTACTGTCAAACAGGATATACACTTATGAAAAATAAAGGTGGGGAGTGGTGAAAAAGTAAACATTTTTGGAAGTCAATTTGCATAAATTAAGACGAATGTGATATTGAAGCAAACCTGAATTCTTCTAACATTGTCCTATGAAAATCTTCTACTGCTGTAAAATAAGATATTCTCTCAAGCTACAATAACATTATTCCATGTCTTTTTAAAATGCAGTCTTTTTCTTATCATATGTATATTTACAGTATCACATTTATATATTGCATGTAACAGCCAGATAACTGATCATCTAAGGTGTATTTTGAAACATACTGTATCCTGCTTTGGAATTTGTACCAAAACTGAAAGTAGTTGTTCTGTATCCAGGAATTTTGAGATAACTGCAAAACAAAAGTAAACAGATCAGAAATTGAACTGAAATTGTAATAAAATCTATTTCTTAAATGCACACAACTACTTAGTGAGATTTATGCTAATCTTTTTAGTTTGTTCTATCTTCATAAATTATTTAAAAGGGTGAAGAAATAACCAGGTTAAAAATACCTAAATTATTTTGTCATAACTAAATCACTACATGCTTAGGTATAGTAAGTAATTATATAGGTGGATACACATCAATTCAGCAATAGTCTGTTAGATTGAATCATATTTATTTTCTGATAAAGATTAAGATTACACAATCCAGCTTCAGGTGGACTAACTCGTACTCTGGTATTGTAATTTTTTTACAGTTGTCTGGACCACTAAGTTTTATGAAGCAACAGAAAAAAAATATGCATACACAACAAGTCTTACATCAGTGATGCCTTTATTTGGTTTTAATGTATACATTATACATACTTATATGTTTTCCAACATGGTGCATATCTAGCCAGAGAGGTAAAAGAGACAAACTCAAATTCTTCAAAAAAGTTATTGGCTCACTGACTTCTATCCGCTTTATCAGGGAAATTCACTTTTGTTATCAAAATACTTGAACAAAATATCACTATCATAATAAAGATTACTTTAAAAAATTAAGTGTTGACTATATGTGTCACCTGACAAATCATAAAAAAAATACCTTTCAAACATATTGAGTGACACTGCATACTTACATACATTAGAAAAAATGTTTAAACAGAAATATAATACTATGCATTAAAAAAACCAAACTGCTACCTGCTTGAAGACCAAAAAAGAGCTCCTCGTCCTGGAGCAATTCCTGAACACAGTCCAGTCTTGTGTTAATTGTTTCGGCGTCAACTAGCGGCTCCAGGATATTGGACCTAAGTCTTCGACTTCCACCTGGAGTTTTAGTGTAATTTAGGACACCAAAAAGTGTGTGACCGTTCCTTTGAAAACAAAATAGATACGAAGAACACACAATGTAAAAGGAATAAAACCTAGGCATTTTAATCCAACATAAGCAACTTCTTGTGGCAACATTGCCTCTTTCATTTAACAGTCTGTGAAATTTTGCATCAACATGATTTATAAGTTTGTCTAAAATATAGATTATCAATGTAAAGATGACTATGTATCATCTCTTCCCACAATTCACTTGTAGGATTTCCTATGCTAGAAATTTTGTGCTGAATTTTAACACATTTCGCTGTTCAATTTTTTTTTTAAAGCTCTGAATGGTATGTGTCATACTGAAATAAATATAATGGCCAGCTCCTCGACAAACTTCAAGGAAACCTGGTGAAGTACAACTGTAAACTTAAATATTCTTACCGAGAATCTCTGTTATTAATTACTAGTTCAAGATTTTGTGCTGATGATGAATCTATCATAGCTGTTTTCTCACTCCCCTGGAAACGCACCTTGAGTGATTTAGGAGCATAAACTGAATTTTGAATAAATTCAACATATTTTAGCAAAGCTGCAGCAGCTGCAAGACAGTAGTACCTGGGAAAGAAAAAATCTTTAATTAATGCTGAATAGTGCTATTTAAATGCCACAAAACCAAGTGGTACACTATGGAAATCACATTCACAGCCCTGCTTGATAGCTACTGGGATTGATAGCACCAAAAAAGCAGTATGTTTTAAGTATGCACTAACCCATGTATAGTGCACTTACGTGCACATAAATCAAATACTCATGAATGCTTGAGTCTCTGTACACTTGATACCCCACACTATATAGCTGGTATTGTGAACATATTTCAGTAGTTACATGTGACTTCAAATCAAAATCCAGGTCACCAAGTATCACTACTTAAAATTGTTGGAACAAGGAAAACATTTGCTGAGGCCAGAAAGAAAGGCAATAATAGCTGTTAAATTGTCTTTAAGGAAAGAATGAAAAGGAGAAAGTGGAAAGCTGTGAAAAAAAAAAAATCTAAATCTGTAATCTGCTTTCTACTGGAGTTGCTAGATATATCAGAAACAATGGAGGGCAAAATAAAAGAACATCTCTGTTACGACTTTCTAACTTTTGCAACAAGCCACAGACTTGTGTACTAACTATGTAAAAAGCTGTTAACTTATCTTTTCCTTATTTAAACATACTTTGACTGAACCTCCATGAAAACGGTGCTGAATTCAGATGCACACAATTGTTCTATGTATTCCAAACCCTTTGTTTCATTGAAGTATTTTCTTTGGACAGTTGTAAAAGTCACATTCTGTGAAGATGCAGGGAAAAGTAAATAGTTTTAAAAGTTACAGAGAATTTTTCATCAGATAGACTTCTCTATTTTTCTAGTGATATGTGTTTCTAAGAAAATCTGTCAACTGATTAAGCAATCTGTCTTTGTAGAAGCATTCATTCTAGCTTATTAGCACAAGTAAGCCACACTATTGTCCCTCATCTTTCCTTCTCTCTGGTAGCAAGTACATATAAAAAGGTTCATATTACTGTTTTGAGCAAATCAACATAAGCTTTTTCTTGGATATTGCTCTTCCTCCCAAGCAATAGCTCCCCCAAATCTTGAATTTAATCTGGATTTGGTTAAAATTAATGACTTTTTGGGAAGAGTTATTTTCATGCTAGCACTGATGCTCACATCTAAATTGTAGTTTTGCTAAGGTTTAAGCCCAAGGGATCATTATCAAGCCTTCAGTGGTTAAATAGGGACTAAAGATATGCAGGTCAATGTAACTGCATGTGCGCGATGTGCGAGTGATTTATGCAAGAAAAAGATGAGAGAGGTCAGGAAGTAGAAGTGGACTCATGAAGAAGCCATCAGCCATGGAAGCAATTCAAGTAGTAATTAATAGTTTTTAAAAGTTCTGAGGCTTTAATACTCATAAATTACATATACTAGTTAATCTCATCCTTTTTTACCCTGCCAGTGCTCTCTTTCCAAGTCTGAGATACATTAGCCCTATCTATTCATCAGGTTGAGAGAACAAAGAAGGAACAAAGGAAAATGCTTGGGTTTTTAATCTCTGAATATTTCCTAGGTTCGGTATTGCTCAAATTACTTTAATGCCACAAATTCAAAACTTGCAGCTTTAATCAGTAATATAATTATCTCTGTTATTGTCAGGATTAGAACTAGCAGCACTGACTGGAGCTGCATTTAGATTCTTCTTTACCACTGTAAAATTAGGCCTGAATATCATAGAAAACACAAAAATCTGGCTGCACTTAAGGTTTCAGAAGTTGTGGAAAACACTCAAATCAACAATCACATAAAAGTGTTCAGCAAGAACTCTAAAATATGGAATGAAATTTAAGATCTTACCTTGAAATGTTCTGTTATTAGACTGAACAATTTTGTTGTGTTCCCTGCATCACAAGCAGTGTTTGACATTACTATTTCTAGCGGTGTTAAAATCTTCAGTTTAGTAATAACCTGAACAAAAAACCCCCAAAATAAATCAATAAAAATCCATCTGTAATCTGGAATTTTTTTACATGATAATGAACCAGCAATAAATGACTAAACAATCCTTATATTTTAAAATCATAGTTCCAGTCTTGTAAATAAAAACCAATTTTTTTGCTAACATCTACACTAATGAATCAAATCTATCAGTATCTACAGATACAGAAATATAAATATACATGAAAATAAATTTAAAAAACCCAAAACACAGGTACCAATTCCCTGTTATTTAAACACAGAAACATGCTTGTCACCAAAGCAAGCTATAAATATCCAAAACTATATTCCATGGCTATGACGGGAGAAGGATTTATTTCCAACAGATGGCAGTTTTCAGCTGAAAAGTTAATGGTGCTCTGGAAGATGAAGAAATGCAACAGGTCTGAATATTAATAATCTTTTGATTGAGACCTGTATTAGACTTTGTTCTAACCTCCTCTTACAGTATTTATCCCAGTCTTATCTTTTTCAATATGGCTTAAAATGTGCATATTTAGACCAGCTTTGCTTTGATTATGTTATACACAAATGCTGTAGGGATTTAAAATACACTATATGTTTTGCTACTTGTTTACAGTATAAGAAACAAACATCATTATGCATTTATATAAATTCATATCAGCACCCACAAATTCTAAATGGAGAAACATGAAAAAACAGACTATATTTTAAGTTCTTAGAAGTTAAGATGCGAAAGAAGGGACAGATAGCAATGGAAAGGTGAACAAGCATGAAAAAAAATACACAAAATAAATCATTTTAGGGTATTGGGGGGTGGGAGGGAGAGCTGTTGCTGCCTGTCATATCTGATAATCATTAGGAAGTTTTTTTCAGAGGCATCACAGTTAAAGCAAACCTTGAGGAATGTAAAAAATACAAGAAAATGTTACTGAATTAATTTACAGAATATTCAAAAATAAAAGGGTTCACAAGAAAATGAAAATACAATAAGCTTGATATCAATCACTAGCAAAACAGAGTGACACTGTAAGAAAATAGCAGCGGATGGACAGTATTGTTAAAGATGTTGCAGATTAAGATAAGAGATTAGGCCAAGTCATGTTATTAGAATTTAAAAACAAAGTATGAAAGACTTGAGAGAAGTAATTGTATTTTATCACTAAATTCAAGACAAAACCCAAAGTAAAGGGGTAGGGGAGGAGTTTGGGCAGCTAAAATACTTCTCAGTTTGAGAAAAATAAATTTCATGGGACAATAATACAGTTCTTAACCCTGACACAGTAGAACAGGGAAGACTCTAAACACAGCTACTGCTTGCTAAAAAGAAAGACTTTACTCTTAGAAATAACAGTAATCTTTACAAAACCATTAAAATTAGTAAACAATTTCCATAAAACTAATACAAATTCCTTGTGGAATTCTAGTCTTCAAACCTTTACATGAATTGGTTGCCATATCATCACCTCAATGTCTGTGTTTTCTCATGCACATACATTTCCAAGGTGCAAATCTCATTCTGATTTTTAGTACTGTGCATTACAGAAGCATTTCTGTAGCTGCCAGGTTCAATGTGCACTTATGTGTGTTAAGATCAGGATAAGCTTTAAAAGCACCAATGATTTTTTTAAAAAAAAGGCATTACACAACATACATTTCAGTAAATAGATTTGATAGCTGTTTATAATCTCAATCATATCTACTTATTCTGCTAATTAAAATTAGGTTTTATTTCTTTGAATATTGTAAAGATGCTACAAGTCACATTATTTTCAAGCATTTGTAACTACAACAAAACCATTAAGTAAGATACTTTATTATACAGTGTCGCATAAACCATAGATTACTCTGCAAATTATTGTACAGAATGCAGTGCTGGTAGGCAGAACACCTGGCTGTAAATTGAGTGAATTTCATTTGGAACTAACTGAAAAGGAACATTTATGCAACCACACAAAGACAGCCCTACAGTTATCCTACCTACCCTCGCCACACAGACATTTATGCAGTTCTGATTTCGGAGCTGTTCTGCCTGATAAAAAATACTGCAAGTTCTACTGCCATGTATTGCCCACGGCTCTGCAAAACAAGGCATCTCACTCCCCCATAGTTCAAACACAATATTTTTTGCAGAAAGGTTATTTTTCTTCTGCAAAACATTTGTTCCTCTTTATCTAAAATCTGAGGTGCAGTAAAGAAAATAGCATTCCCTTCAACACTGCACATTTTCTAGAACTTGTTACTTTCACACTTTTGAGAAATTTCTTCTGCAAATTAAAAATATAATTTCCTATTAGTCAGAAGCTTTTTTAAGAAAGTCACAATAATTAGCCTATAAGGGATACAGAAATTAAGTATGTAATAATACCTTGGCATAAGTTGTATTGTCTGCAAACTGTGATAATATCACCTCAGGATTTTTTAAGTCAATACTGGCCATTCCCACTTCACCTCTGGCAAGGCCTCTTCCTTCTACTACAGCTACAATAACCGATGCAACACTATGAGCAGACACTGCAGAGGAGGATGTAACTGTAAAACAGTTGCACATATTCAGTTACGAGCCACTACTTTACATTCACAGAATCATACTCTGACATTCCAAGTGAAATCATGTGTTTATATTCCCATATCCATGGAAAGCCCTTTCAGTATACCAAACTTAGTTAAAAATTAAAAATCCTGGTTGTGGAACTCCTTACTTACCCTACCATACAGACAAAGCACACCTTCCAAAGTATAAACATCATACTCTTACATTAAAAGACTGACTGAACACATTCATTTAAGACTGTCAGAACCAATCACATTTCTGTAGCCAGTTTCTGAGCCAGTGCCTCTGTACTAAACAAAAAAGATGTTTATTACATGCCAAAAAGCATGAGTATTATTGAACATTTACTATTTAAAATTCAAAATGATGCATAGTTATTATTGCTAGTTAAAAACAAGCATATTAATCACAGAGAGATACTCTTAAATCAATATTCCACTAAAAACACAACTCTAATTGAAGTGGTTTAGATCTTATCAAGTTGGGGGAAACAGATGTCTTTTATATGTGCATTTCATCTGATTTTACACTAAATTTATTAAACTATTCTAAAATATATGTATCTTCAGCATGCTTGAGACCCAATCATTTGATTTTCAGTTTGGCTGTTGTTTTTTGGTTTGGTTTTGTTTTGGGCTTTTTTAAAATGTTTTTAGTATCTTAAAACTGGTTTGGTTTAAATTTTCCCAAATATCATCACAAATTCAGCTAATCTGTTCTCCTTCTTCAAATATCCATCTGTCTCTCTGAGACATGCCTTACAAAGACTGTGTGAAAATTAAGATTATAGCTCCTTGACACCTAATGTCTTCCTTTCTGAAAACCCTAAACGTCATTTTCTTATCTTTCTTTTCCCATGCAGATAAAACCACCAACCCAACTGCTCTAGCGATTTGCCCATTGTAACTTAGGAAACTTACTTTGGGATTGTACTACAGACCTACAACAAATCTGATGTTTATACCTAAACTGAACTCTATAGACCTATGATTCCTAATCTCATGTCATTCAGATCCAAATAGCTAATTCAAAAAATGAGGTTATTGCATGTTTGACTATGGTTTATTGCAGTATAGTTGACTGGACACAAATTTTGACGCATTCCTTCATCTCACTCTGCCCACACCACTTCATACAGTACTGAACTTTAAACAGCATCACATTAAAAAACAACTGTCTTCTAGCAGTACTGTTTCCATGCCTAAAACCTAAACCGTGAGCCAGTAAGAAGGATAGTCTCAGAGATGAGGTATCATTTGCAATCAGAATTGGAGGGATAAGAAGCTGGACAAAATGAGCTGACCCTCCCACTTCTCCCCAGGTTCCCTTTGGGTGCCTGCCATCACAGATCTGTGCAACAGTATGTCTTAGCCAATACTCAGAGTCCCCACACACCAAATGATGCTCCACTATTTAAGAAGCACTGCTCTTAAATAGTGCAAAGTTACAGTACTTCCTAAATATGACATTTAACTAATGGGGTGATACCATTTTAATTTGGTGCACTGAACTTCTTTTAATCTATGAAATATCAAAAAATACGTATACAGTGCTTCTTTTGGTATCTCAGCTAATTTTTGTTTCATGTTTGCAAAATGGTGTTA